TCAAATCTTTGCTTTGTCGTTGATCAAGATCAAATTAATGACAAATTTTCTGCTTAGCTATTCTTATTTTTCAAATATATTAAAACAAAAATTAATAGTAGTTTATTTTAATTTGCATTACCAAATGTCAAGTTTTGACTTACATTAGTGCAGCACTAATTTTACAGTGTAACTGCTTCTTACGCTCATTATTACTTCTAGTATTTGTTGTCTGTTTGTTATCTCTAATTTATTACTAATATGACATTTCTCGAGTGATTTATAATGACCTTTTAAAAAATGTAATAAAACATTGAAAGTGAAAGTGGAAATGGAAAAAATAAAGTAAATAACTGCTGCAAAAAATACAAACAAACAAATATAACAAATTAAATAACATTAAAGTTGCTTCAGATGCTATTTTCGTTTGGAGCAAATAAAATAATTCTCAGTGGAATTTAATTATTTAGATAGAAAATTGGACAGTTTTTCAGGCTGACATCATTCTACATTCTATTAAATTAGCACAAGTAATAATGATGCTTTGCTCTTTTTAACACCCACTTCTTGTGATTACTGATAAGTATTTCAAAAAAAGGTGCAAATTATTATTGCTACTATTTTAAAGAATTTCATCCCCAAAAATAGTATTTAAATAATATTACATTCATTTTGAGACAGAAATAAAAGGTTTTTGATAGAAAAAAAATTTTTAAAAAACAGAAGCATTAGATAGTACTAAAAATAAAACCATGAGTATGAAATAAGTATATTAGCATGTATGTATGGTATTGCATATATGTTCTACCTTATATCTTCTAACCATTAAGAAGATAAATATGGCACCAAATGCAAGAAGATGAGGTTGTCGCAATAGAATACAAACCAGCAATACCTTTCAATAAACTGCCCACTCATTCATTCTATTCTCAACAATCAATTCTGTTGACATTTTTCAAGAGAATGAAATTTTTCTTGCTCAGTTCTTTCAATTTCATACTTGAATTGCTCTAATTTGACATCGCAACATCCTTTTTTATCTTCTGCTTTTCACTTATTTCATCCGAAACCAAAGCAAACCGAACCAAACCAAACTGAACCGAACCGAACTGAACCAAACCGAACCGAACCGAACCGAACCGAACCAAACCGAACCGAACCGAAATGACATTCTGTTTCCCTTTTCCTAAGCTCAGCGATACTCCACTTTCACTACTTACTTACTTTCTACTCTCTCAGTACTTTCTTTGTCTATGCAATTTTCTTCACTGCTCTCGCAAAACCATACATAATGCTATATTTTCTCACTCTATTTCTTTAGTCAGAAAATTTATTTATTAATCATTCATTCAGCCTTACTCAGTTAATTCTATAGAACTTCTAAGGATATATATATATATGTATATTCTTAGGATATATACTTACATATATCCTATATGTATATATATTCTAGTAAGATTAAGTTTATTTTCTAATTAGTTATTGTAGATTGATTTACTACTTACTGATTATAAAATTTGATTTATTGATTTGATCACATTTATGACTGATTTACTACTGATTCTTAGCTACATCTAAACTAGAATGCTTAATTTTGGTGGATGTAGCTAAGAATCAGTATAAAACCAACCATATGATGAATGATATGGATAAGCAAACTTTATTAGCTCTACCATATGAATGTGATAGTTATTAATCAGTGTTGCTTAAATAGTCTTACCATTACTTATGTTTCGCACAAGTTTTAAGTTCGAGTCTCTTCAGTCCAAGTCAAGCTGCCGATTATGCTACCAAGAATGGAAAAGAGCACTTAATCTTACTCTTTTGCCATCTCCAAACTTCATCTATGCTATTTCGGCTTACTATGTATTAGCCGTTAATTACACGTCTGATCGATTGCAAATGCATAAGGCTTAATGCGAAGAACGAATTATTTTTTAGTGTTGTTGAAGACTAAAAATCATTTATTTTATCAAATATTAGTGCAATGTCACCTTTAGGAAATTACATATTGTTACATAGTTTTGGGGTGAAGGAAAAAGATGACATTGCGAGGGAGACGGTTAGAGGTTATATTCAATGGGCAGGTTTTTCCGGCGGACCATACCATCACCTTGGAACCATTCTCGGCGGAACTGTTTGGCAGCACCATCTGGCGTGTTGGTCCATTCAATTGTAATACGGTCATTGTTGATATCTTCTTTCGATGCATCGAACGTATCGCAGGAGACCGCCATCAGTACATTCTCCTTAGGATCCAAGACGCCACATGGTGGGTCAACTCCCAGACGACGCATATTGGTTGTCTTTATAGCCCATCCAATGCGACGACCACCAGCATTCGTGATCTGTTAAAGATATACTTGAATAAAATTACACTGTTCGCAAATTTCATCTGTATGACCAATTGAAATTGACATTATTAAATAAAAAAGGGACAGAAGGCTGAAAGAAAATTTGACAAAGTTGCAGCTATGAAAAGTCAAATAAGGATATTGATCCATGGAGCATCGTGTAGTTTAATATCCATGAAGAGTTTTATAGAAAAACATCACAGAGTAAAATTGAGGGTACCCAGCCGAATAATATTGTGGTTTGCAGAAGGGAATCCATTACTGTGCATAATTTTTACTTTGATGTGGTAGGTATGTTTGTCGTCGTATGGTGCGTTGAAAACGATCTTCGAGTTGGGTTGGGTGCTGATATCGCCTGGTGGGACAGACTGGGCCATTGTTCTTCTCAGATGACAGTTCCTGCTGCCTGATCAAATTCGCAAGTGATAATCATCAACTATCCTTCCTTTTTATACATTTTTGAAACTAAAAATTTGCTTATTCAAAAGCTCTTGTTGCTAATTTTTCATCTTATCTCAGACTAATTTTACTTTTAAAAATTTAAATAATTTATCAAATATCTCTTTAATTTCTCACATAAATTTGAAAGTACTCTGCGTAAAAGTGATTTTTGCATTTTTTTTCGCATCAAAATTTGAGTAAGCAATCATTTATTTTTCGAAAAATATGCATGCAAGTTTTCAAATTTTTTACTCATCCAAAATTGACATCATATGCAAAATAAGTGTCTGATTTTGCACATGGAATCTTTTTCCGAAATCTGATTAACTTTTATTGAATTTTTGCCATTTAGATATGTTTTTATATTTAGGAGTAGAAAATTTTTCTTGCTTTAGCTACATAATCTTGATTAATATTGCGGTATGCAAATCATATTTTTAATAATCTTTTTTTTAATAAAAGCTAATTTTTAGTTTCACGATATTACTAAAAGTCATCCTTAC